CCCTGGCCGCTGGAGGGGGGGGCTCGGTAGCTTCCGGGGGGCTGCCTCGCACTCTGTCCGCTTCCGCCCTCCGGCTACGACCGTCCAGGAAGGCTCTCTTCTGGGAGCAGTGTTTCGAGTCGCCACCGAAGAGAGACTTGTAAGTGGACGATGATCGTCATAGCGGTTCTGTCTGTCGAATCGAAGACGAGGTTCGTCTTAGAAGCTTCTATCTGATTTCCAGGCTCCTTTGAAATGCCTCGCTCTAGGCGTGTAATTAAGAAATTCTTTTTTAAGAGACTTTTAAGATATAATCGTGGCTCGTTAGATAGGAGTTTTATTGGCATGGAGGGAACGACGAGTGGTTATGAATAATTTCGAAACAGAGTCTTATTAGTCTTCTTAAGATTTTTTCTGAATTATAAATGGACGATAATAAGATATAAGGTTAAGAAGGTATAAGAAGGTATAAGAAGGTATAAAAGGATCATATGAATTGTTTTAAAATTGAACTCGTGGATTCGTGAATAGATTAATATTTTAATACTTTTTTTTTTTTTATAGGAGAGTTTATCCGATAATAGGAATTAAATTAAACGAGAAATTGAGATTTTTAGAGATTTGTGTTGACAGTGTTGATATTATTAATAGATCTTTGTGAAACGATAAACAAATATAAATGTTAAAAAAAAAGGAAAGGATTGAAAGGAAGGAAAGATTTTGAATATTTTGTCTTTGAACAATTGAACAAAAACGCTTCCACGAAAGATAGATAGCAAATTGATAATAGATTCTATGAACTGGATCTTTTTATCGCACAAAGAACACAATTCAAGAGAAGATTCTTCTGGGTTATCTTTGAAGATTTTTATCTCGTTTCTGTTGAAGCCATTCGCAGATTTAGATTAACAAATCGATTAAAAATTACAACGAATATTGTCGCTAAATAACGGCAACGTCGATAATCGTTTTATCGATTTTTCGGAATTTAATCGCTTTGTAACTCATGGATAAAGGAGACACGGATAAAGTTTGATTAAACTCGACGCAGTTTCGATCGGTCTATTCTTCTAAAATCTAATTGGATTATAATTGAAATTTATTTTTCATCGAAAATAAAATGATGTTCGCACGAGGTTTACTCAATCGATAAATCGATAATCCTCCTTCGATAATAATACCAAGAAGCTGTATTCGATCGTAATCTCTGATATCTTGATGAATTAACTCGATCGAGGCAATAATCGTCAATACAAGTAATATGTTTGCTCGACACAAAGAATCTTTTTTTTTTTTTACAATTGTGAATCGAAATATTGTTTATATTTAGAAGAAATTACTTTTTTTAAATTTTTATCATCATCCGATCTTCTTATCTTTCAAAGAAGTACTTGAGAAATTTGTAAAGGGAAAGATTGTTGTTGATATTTTGAAAAAAGTGAATTTTTATCTTAATCAATTTTTCTTATCTAGAAATTTTAAGACAAATGTTAAATAATTTGAGATGTTTCGCAATCCCTAGAACATAGGATTAGAATAATTGGCCGATGATCAAAGGATTCATTCATGAATAACTTATTAACCTTAAGTTTATCGGTTTGAAATACACGCGATAATGAATCGAGCGAATGGATGTCACAGAAAATAGATCTGCACTTTGGACAAAAGCCAGAAACTCATTTAATGCTGTCCACTCCAGTGGCTATTTCCAAATCTGCTCAGCTTGCAATCTACTTTTTAGTAAACTAAATAAATACTGCGCGCAAAATCGTTACTTCGAATTTGTTGCGACGATTAACGATAAAATTTAAGGGTGAATTAATCCATCTTTCTTTTCTTTAAATAAATGAAACTTCAAGAAAATTCCGAATCTCGTACTTTTTTTTTTAAGTAAAAAATTAAAACTAATTTTAAAGATTTTAGAATTTTAATTCTATAGTATTGATATTATAATTTTAGAATTTTCGAGATTTCAATTCCATTCCAAAAAAATTGGAATGCAAAAAAATACTTTATTTCTGGCCATTAAAAAGCGATCGAATCGTATTCGGTTAATAATTTGAAAAAGAAAATTTAATTTCGATAAACGATTGTTCAAAATTGAAATATTACACGTATAGCAAAGATTTACCTATCTGTCGATCCGTTCTGAATGGAATTGAAATTGCAACCGATGCGTTAATCACGCTTTCATTAAACAGGCTTCACCGTGTCCAATCGAATTATTGTTTTTGCTTAACGAAACGCTATCATTTCTGAAATGTAATTTTCACCATTGCAAGATTATAATTGGATCACCATTCACCTCAATGAAGCTTCAATTTGTACGATGAGGATAGTAATTGGAGCGAGATGATACATATATATATATATTTTTCATTTTTGTTGAATAACGCGTAATAAAAGAGAGTTAAAGTAAATAACGTTTCAACCAACGTTCGATAACTTCGAATTTCTTTTATCCTAAAGTGTTTTAATATTTCAATCGTTTTATTTACACGTACTTTCTCTCTCTCTCTCTCTCTCTCTCTATATATATATATATATATATATATATATGCGCAAATTTCCAATTCTATTTTTACTTTCTCCACTTACTCCATTTCAAAATAAACTTCCGTGCAGTTCAATTTTTCCCTATTTTTTTTTTTTTTTTTTTTTTTTTTTTTGCAAAACGCATTCAACAAGTTCCCGTAGCCAACATCTCCGCCGTTGGTTAAACCTCCCCTCCAGTAATGTAATTGTAAACACGAAACACGAAACGAGTTGTTCGTTTACGCAATCGAACAACTCGACGTGCTCGTGCGTCAATCATATCGCATATATCCTCGATCTTCTTCGAAGAAACAATAAGTGGATACGATACAATAGGTGACACAATATTTACATGACGACGACGCAACGAATAGATCATTTCATTCATATTTATATCGTAAAATAGAAAAGAGGAAAATATAGACAGACATAAAGATATTTTTTATTTTAGAACAATGGAAGGAAGGGATGTTTTCGAGGGTAGAGTAAATTGTTGTAAATAGTTTTAATTAGAAATTCACGAGAAGAGAGAGAAAGGACAGTGAGGGTAGCTCGTTCATGGAAATACGTTCTTTCGTAGGATGACCTAGTTGGGATTGGAAAATGATCTCTCTCTCTCTCTCTTTCTGCCTCTCTTTCTCTCTCTGCCTCTCTCTCTCTCTCTCTCTTTGCCTCTCTTTTTCT